TATATATTCGGTACTTATTAGAAAGCGATCAGTATCAGAGATAGAGCTAACATCTCACATAAAAAAACCAATAAATATATATATATATATATATATATATATATATAATAAATTATAACCATGGAATATTAGTGTTTAGTTTATATATATATATATATATATATATATATATAATATTTTTTTAAGCATTTCACCCCAAGCAAGGGGGGAAGCCACTAGGATTTAAGGGGTTACAGAAAATAGCAAGATCAGATAGGAGTGATAGAAGAAAGGATGAGGGTAGTGGATAGATTAAGGCAACTGGAGATCATTGATTGATAATTACATTTGAATAGCTGGAGATTATAGCTCACATGGAAACAGAAGAAGGGAAGGGAGTTCCACAGGCGAGAGGTGCGAGACATGAAGCTATTTCTAATGCGATCTAATATTTTTTCTTTTCGGATGATAAATTATATAAAAACTGTCCGAATGACAACACTAATATAATTGCATCATCTACATGCAAATAAAAGGCTAAAAATAATATAAGACTTATTAATAAAAACAAAAAAAAAAAACAACACTTAATAATATTAAGTTTGAACATGGACATACTATCTTGAGCGTGTTTTGAAAAACGAAAACATTTTATAAAACATACATACAACAAACTATTTCTTATTTTTACAGTTAAAATATAATCCTTGAAAATGGCTAAATGTATAGCCGAAAGCGTTCGGCTAAAAAGAACATTCGGACAGTTTTATATATTTTATCATCTGAAAAGAAAAAAAAATTATTAGATCGCATGAAAAATTGTATAAAAAGAACTAAATAAAAGCACCTTGGCGGTCGTTTTCAATGAAATGTGCATATATATATATATATATATATATATATATATATATATATATATATATATATATATATATTGACCACTAATATTATCTCTTTCTCTAAATATATATATATATATATATATATATATATATATATATATATATATATATATATGGTACAGGTAATAAATCGAATTTGCTATATAATCCAAGTGGATCCTAATAATATCAAATATTAAAACAGATCTACAAAAAGAGCTCAATGTATTTATTATACCAGAGCATATAATTCACACACACACACACACACACACACACACACACACACACACACACACACACACACACACACACACACAAAAATCCAAAACTACTTCATGTGGGTATAAATGTATTTCAGCCAACGCGAAATACGTCGGTCTTATTCAACCCTAGCGGATAGACTGTATTCGTGTCGTAATTAGAGATTTAAAATTTAACTTAGGCAACGGTCGAAAAATTGATATATATATATATATATATATATATATATATATATATATATATATATATATATATATATAAAGTGAACCTAAAAGTCAGTAACTTAGAGGCGACAGTCTGTTTAATTGCTGGATGAAATCGTCAGGCCAGATTGCTATGACGATTGCATCTAACATGAAACAGCCTGCCACATCTAAGTGTTGACTTCTATGTTCACTTTTATACTTACACAATGCTCTATTTTCTGATATTGAGCACTTTATCCCATAAATATAGCACACCTTAAAACTATATTTCTTTTATATATATATATATATATATATATATATATATATATATATATAAGTGTGTGTCTCTTCAAGACGTAAGTGTTTACAATATCAACTATTTTCTATTTTGTTGCATATCATAACAATCCGTTTACCATGTAAGTACTGAAAGACCATTTTCTTTCCTCGCTTGAATTCACAAGAAAAACTCCAATGCCTCCAAGAGGATCGGTGAGAATTCCATTTAATATTCGAAAATCGCGGTTGTTGTCTTAAGGATTTACAGCGAAATTAATTAAAATCAATGAATTGAAACAGCGGCAAATATCACCTTCCGTAATTAAATAAGGTAAATGATTTTCGCAGTTTTTTTTATTGATTTCAACAATCGGTCATTTATATTTGGAATTGCATTCACACTTTCATTCTCTTCTCTTGTTCATATTTCTTTTTCTTTTCTTAATTCATTCGTTCAACTTTTCAGTTGATTTTTCTTCTTTCATATTGTTTTTCTTTTCTTTTTCATTCCTTCGCTTATTCATCTATTTTAATTTCTTCTGCCACATTTTTATTTATCTTTGCTTATTAAAATTTAAATTAATCCAGTTCTTTTATATTTTTCATTCCATCCTTCTTTCAATCATTTTTTCTTTCGTTTTTTTCTTTCCAGCTTCTGTTGATGCTTTCATTCAATCTTTCTTTCTATAGTTTATTTTCCCCTTTTTCCACCTATTTATTTTTCATTCTAATCCTCGTCCTTCATAGATGTTTTCTTTATTTATATTTTACTCATTCATTCATTCATTCTTTCGCCTTCTATTTTCATTCCATCTTTCTTTTATGTCTTTTTCTCTCCAACTTTCGTTAATGCTTTCATTCAATCTTTCTGTCTATAGTTTATTTTCACAATTTTCCACGCTTCCATTTATTTTTTATTCTAATCCTCGTCCTTCATAGATGTTTTCTTTCTTTATATTTTATTGATTCATTCATTCTTTCTTCTTCTCTTTTCTTCATTTCATTTCGTTTTAAATTCATTTTTATTTTCTTCTTCCTATTTTTTCGTCCTTTGCTATTTTTCATGTTTGTTTGCATTTTTATTATCAACTCGTTTTCAGCCATTGTTCCGTATCTTTTAATTTTTTTCCTTTCCTTTATTTTTCGTTGTTGCTTTTTAAAAATTTCAGATACTTTAATGTTGTCATTAAATGTACGCCAATCAACATCATCTTGTGTAGCACAGATTAATGACTGCACAAATCCTCACCATGTTTGCCTATCTTACAAAATATCTGACCGCGTAAACATGTTCCATTTGATTCAGAATTTTCTCACTCTACGAATTCTTTGCTGTCAGTCGCGCCGAATGCAAATTAAAAAACGGCAGTAAACAAAAGTAAAAATATTACTGACTCGCTTTTTATATGACTAATTGGATAAAGACAATTATTTAACTAAACATACACACGGATAGATACACACGCAATCACACACACATACACTCATGAAAGAAACGACACCCCAAGCCTAAGAAAACACACATTAATGCTCATGAATAAACATAGGGAAGACAGGTCCTCGACAAAATCCAGATATGCAACGTGATGGCTACTGATCTGGTATCTCGTCTACAGCCACTTTCTCACAGAATTTAAGCGTTCATCTTTAAGGTTGGCATCTTGGTCACAACCTTTTACTGTCGAAACAGTTAAATATAACCGCCTCTTCTACTCCAACAGCTTCTTTCGCACTTCCCGACAGTGGAACTCCCTTCCTCTTACTTGCTTCCCTGATAATTTGATATGTCCCGGAAAGGGATATATTTGTTCGAAGTAGCAAAGTGGTTTTGGACTACTGTAACCGAGTAGGACAATCTAGCAGGTAACCGTAATGGACTGGTCCTCGTCGTAGAGGTAGGCAATAGGCGTAGGCAATAGGCGAAGACTATAGACGTAGCCAATAAGCGTCGTACTGTACCTCAACATCAGTCTGTATTTATGGCTGACACCAGCCAATCATATTACTGTGAGGGGGAACCCAGGTGTATGCATATTCATTACATCATAACTATAATCTTCAAATATTCAAATGTAATGTCAATTGACATCTTCTAATGCCTTGATCCTGATTCTCGTCTTACTGTATATCTTTTCCTCAAACAACCCTCTTTACTTTTGCTCTCACTCTCTGTAACTCCTTGTGTGCTAGTGGCATTCCCACCTTGCTTGGAGTGGAATGCTTAAAAAAAATACATGTACGTTTTAACGTTTCTTTACACATTTAACCGTTTCGAGAGTGAAAGAATGAGACCGAGATGCCAACCTAGTAGTACGTTTAAATTCATGCAGTTGGGGTACAGGCGAACGTAGCCCGTCGGAGCAGTTGCCATGAAATTATTTGTAGAAAAGACAGAGGGAAGCCACCTCATTCCTGTGAGAAAGTGACTGTAGACGAGATGCCAGATCAGAACTTATCACATTGCATATCCGTCTCTGGATTTTTTTGAGGACCTGTGGCATTCCTATTTATATTCATGAGAATTAATATGTGTTCTCGCGAGCTTGGGCTGTAGTTTCTTTCATGGGTGAATGTGTGTGAGATTGCGTGTGTATATAAACACTAACACAAACATATTTTCTCCCAGAATACACATGTGCAAGAACTAAATATCGATGTGCATGTGCAAGGAAACAAACCAAATTAAACCTATGCTAACACAAATAAACTTACATGAAACAACTGCCTTGATGGAAAAGTCAGAAAACAAGTTATAATAATAATTATAGTAATAAACATTTTTCTGGCGATTTTATTGTCGCACTAACTTTTGACACGTTACCAATGATATTTCTTAATGTTTCGTCTGTTTTCTCTTTATACTTCTTACTTCTCTTCCTTCTTTTCCCATTCGTTGTCTCTTTGCCAAATTCTTTGCATTCCTTCCATATTTACATCTTTTTGTGGCTTTTTTTTTAATGATTACTCTCTCTTTCTTTACATTATATTTTTCGACGCTTCATTTTGTTTTTCTTCTTCATTTAATCTACAGTTCTTCTTCTTCTTGCTCTCATTACCTTTCGTTTTTATTCGTCTAATCAGAAGAAATTCTGGCGGTCTGAAAATCCTTACTGCCTGACAGACTCTAAGACTCTTGAATCACAATCGTTCTCCAAGGCAGAGAGACAGATAGCCAAGCGGTCGTGCCGTCTCCACGGAAACAGCACTGAGCCAAAGAAGTAACTATTCACATTTCTCGTCGGTCACTTTATTATTTTCACTCCCTTAGGCCCCGGAATATTAATCATTTTCAATGAAATTGCAGCCGTTTATGTTGGTTTTCATACAATCTGCCGAGGAGAGCGTTTAACACGTTGCTCTGTGCGTCTACGGGTCGACCGGAGAAAGTTCTAAGAATTAGGGCACTGATTCATATGTGACCAACGGAAAGAAAAAAAAAAAACAAAGAAAGAAAGAAAGAAAGAAAGAAAGGAAGGAAGGAAGGAAAGAAGGAAGGAAGCAAGGAAGGAAGACCAAAGGAAAAATTGAAAGAAAGAAAAAGAATAAAGGAAAAATTGAAAGAAAGACCAATGGAATAATTAAAAGAAAGAATGAAAAAAAGACTAAAAAAAAAAAAAAAAAAACTAAAAGAAAGAATGAAAGATCAAAGGAAGAATTGAAAGTAAGAAATAGCAAGGGAAAATTAAAAGAAAAAAGAAAGACAAAAGGAAAAACTAAAAGAAAAAAGGAAAACATGAAAAAAAGAAAGAAAGACTAAAGGAAAAATTGAAAGAAAGAAAGACGAAAGAAAAAATTGAAAAAAGAAAGGCTAAGGGAAAAATTGAAAGAAAGAAAGAAAGACGAAAGGAAAAATTGAAAGAAAGAAAGACGAAAGGAAAAATTGAAACAAAGAAAGACCAAAGGAAAAATTGAAAGAAAGAAAGACCAAAGGAAAAATTGAAACAAAGAAAGACTAACAGAAAAATTAAAAGAAAGAAAGACCAAAGGAAAAATTGAAAGAAAGAAAGACGAAAGTAAAAATTAAAAGAAAGAAAGACTAAAGGAAAAATTGAAAGAATGAAAGAAAGAATGTCGGAATCAATGAAAGAATCCCGAAAGAATAAAAGACATGCAGGAAAAGGCTGGAAAAAGAAAGTTTGAAATAAAGAAATACAGCAAAGATCCTAAAGAAAGAATAAAGAAAAATCAGTCAAAGAATAAATGAAAGCGTGAAAGCGGAAGTCTGAAACAATTTAAGAAATACTAAAAAAAAAAAATAAAAAAAAATAGAAAGAAGTAAAGAAAAGAAAAAAGAAATAAAGGAAGAAAGAAGGAAAAAAAGGAAGAAAGAAAGAATATACGAATGATTGTTAGTGCATGATGAATGGAAAGAAACAAACAAAAACTGTCGATAACAATTAGATTAAAAGAGAAAGGAAGCACAACAGTGAAAGAAAGAAGGAAAAAAAACTGATATAAGAATGGGGGAAAGAAAGAAAAGCTAAGGAAATTAGAGAGTAGGGTGTAAAAATAGAGTCAATGGAGACGAAATAAGAACAAAGAAAGGAAAAACGAATAACATTTTTAGATAAAATAAAATCAGATATTTCTATCTCCCTTTTGTTAATAGTATTATTAAAAACAACCTGAAAACGCTTTACTCAAGGATTCATTGCGTCAGGGGAGCTCTACCCCCAGCCCCGCCGATTCTTCCGGAGAGATTGGCAGAGGAGGAGAAGGATTTTTTTCCTCCCGTCGGGATAGATGCTGCAGTTGTAATATCTGTTCCATTCCGGATGTCTTCTCTCCTCCCCTGCGCACTCCCGCCCCCGTTGTGTGACATATGTTACGTAGCGGCGGTATGACCGGCTATGACTAACTTCGACCATCTTATGACCAGCTTAGGCAAGCTAAGAACAGCTAAGATCAGCGCCCGATTGGTAACATAGGGTCCCTACATTAAAAACCGACCCTGTGTCACAAACTAACTCAGTGGTAGTGGGAGGGTAAGGTAAATATGGGGCTCATATTCAAATGTACTAGCGTATAGGTAATCATTTCCAAGTGAAGAATTTTAAAAAAATAATTAACTGGTAAGAATTGGTTGGTATTAACTTTTAAGCAGAATGGGAAGTCTAATTCGAAAACTCCGATTATTGATAGGAACTGTAAACTAGTAGTTTCCAACCGATTTGGGGCCATGTCCCACTTTGGTATTTCTAAAATTCTGGTGACCCCTTTTAATATTTAATTCTCATCTGTATGCCAATTACACATGTACGTATATACACACAAAATATTTTTTATGAATGCATACTGTATATGCATCGTATGTATTAATACGTATTAACATTAACCCTCTCACTCAGACACACTAGAAAACAATTCAATGTTAATAACTCATTCTCAAATTGCCCACTTATTCTGTTGGTATAGTAAGCCGTAGGGTGTACATTCTACGCATGTCTCACCAAAATATTACCATGCCCATGATGGGAATCATTGGGCTATAGAGTTGCTTGCATGGTTCTTAATTAATTCTTACATATTCAAAATTTTACTGCACAATTCACGTGAAGGAAGCAAACTGAATGCTCACACGCGCTGATTGTCCGACAAAATAAGGGCTCTTCCAGCGATATGTATCACGCCCTCTTCTTACGCGCTGATTGGCCGACAAAACATGAGCTCTTCCAACGACATGCATCACACCCTCTTCTTACGCTCTGATTGTCCGACAAAACATGAGCTTTTCCAGCGATATGTATCACGCCCTCTTCTTACGCGCTGATTGTCCGACAAAACATGAGCTCTTCCAACGACATGCATCACCCCTCTTCTTACGCACTGATTGGCCGACAAAACATAGGCTCTTCCAGCAACATGCATTATGCCCTCTCCTTTGTTGACCAAGACATGCGAGTGTAGGGAGACGGAAAATACCCTGTATACTAATTACACATGTACGTACATACACACCAAATAGTTTTATGTATGCATACTGTATATGCATCGTATATATTAACACGTATTAACATTAATACTCTCATGTAGACTCACTAGAAAGCAATTCACTGTTAATAACTCATTCTCGAATTGGCCCCTTATTTTGGTGGTATAGTAAGCCGAAGGGTGTACATCCTAGGCGTGCCCCACCAAAATATTACCATGCCAAACTGGTGGGGCATGCGACCCACGTTGGAAATCATTGCTGTAAATGATAGCCCCCGACATTTGCCTCTAAGGGAATTTATCCAAGTATGGAATTCTTGCAAATATGTTCTGATACTAATTAAAATATGTAAATTGTTAAAAAAAACACAGGAACTAGTTTATTCTATAACTAGCAGCATGGCCCGGCGTTGCCCGTGCTTGATTCAAAAATCGTACGACTCATACAGCAATCGCTATAATACATTAATCGCTTAAAATATTTTAAAGGAGTGCCCTTTGACGTGCTGATGTTGCTACATGCCTTACTTCTTGTCTATCTCACACTGCGAATATTTTCTAAGCTCTATACTAAACATTAAATCTGACACTATTTAGCGTTTGGCTAACTAATTAAACGTGAAAATTAAAAGCGAGAAATACTTAAGGCGAGAAGAAGCTATCACGAAAGACATACTGAGTGATGTTATTTTTTTAACAAAAGAAAAGTGGTAAAGATTTTATTTTCATTTGCGAAAAAAGTATTTTTTTCGCAGAAGATAGGAAATTCGTAAGATCTCGGATCTGTCGGGGTTGATTTATGCTATGACGCGGCGAATAAAAGATAGCAATTTGCCCATGGCAATAATGAACATTTCAAATTGGTCAAGTGGCTCGCAGGGCGAAATGCTGGAAGATAATCGTAATTAGGTCGAGGATGTGACCGAGAAAAAGGATCAGCTGAGACCACCCCAAAGAAAAACGAAGGGAAAAGAGAAAAAGGAAAAAAATAAACCATTAACTATCTTTCGGAGATATCATTTGGTTTTGGAAACGGACCACCTGTTTTATGTCCAGACCTTGACATGATAAAAGTTTGTTGCCGGGACGGATTGTTGGCGTTAGAAGTACGAAGGCATTGAGGTTACAAAGAGATTCCCTTGACCACCCTGAGGATCACTTGACAAAAATCTCGTTGATGAATTCCAGATGACATTCAGTTAAGATAGAGACTTAATGACCACACTACGAGTCGTGGGGATTCTAGTTAGGGAAAAGAAAGAAAAGAAAAAGGAAGATAATTTTTTTCTTTGAGCGATAATTGTAAACTGAGGCCAGACTAGCCACACCCACGCTGCCGAGCGTTCATTGGCTGAATGGTGGCGTGAGCGATGGGCAAACATATGAAGAAGGTAAACATATGAGAAGGAAGGGAAACCTGTTGACGCCTCTGAGGGGATTGGTGTGAGATACCACTATGAGAAAGAAGGGAAACCTGTTGACGCTCTCTGAGGGGAATGGTGTGAGATAACAATATGAGAAAGGAAGAATTTGGGAGGACAATTCCCTTAAGAACCCCTCTAAAACAGAAAGTAATGGACTTCCAAAAATGGAAAGTGATATATTTTCCTGTCCGAAAACAAAGAAAATCCTTATGGCGGATTTGGAATTATCGAGAAACCCAAACCACGACAGGCCCCCACCCGGTTTTGGACGGCGTCCATATAAGTGACAGTTGGGCAGTCGCAGTACAGTTGGGCAGACGCAGACAGAGTGACAGAGCAGACAGAGTTGAGCTGTGAGCTCAGAGACCAACCTCGCAGGAGAGGACTGAAAAATATCCACACATTCCTAATTAGACTTCTAACCAAAAACAATTTTTTTTTGAAGAATGGCTTAGACTCACACCACCCAAACAAGCTTTACGAATATCGCCTGAAGATACAAAAACCAGTTTCTTGAAAAACAACTTAAGATATTAAGACTCACCTAGCAAACGCAAAGTGTCATGTATCTATAGAAGCGGTTTGGGAGAAAGAAGCAGTCCTGTATTCAGCAACCAGATATAAAGATATTTGTTATTCTTTTGTTAACACATTTGAATCTTTCGAGTTGTTACTTTATTTTCTTTTACATATACTTGTGCAGTGTCACTTTGGTTCGAGTTCGGCTTGCATTACGGCCCGACGCCTGGTTGATTTCGTCTACCTAAGATCAAATCACAACGTGGGTAGGTTAGACTAGAAATCAAAGCAGTTACTTCGGTAACCAGACGTTGGAGGCGAGCTGGGAACGACAAAGCTGATACCGAATCTAACCAGATTCCCATCCGAATCAGCCAAAGGGTTAGAACGTCACATTTAGCGCCGCGACCAATACCAAGTCACATTGGTCGTCACAGGATAGCACAGGGGCCGAGGCACAGGGTGACGTCACAAATCTTTTACGAAAAAAGAACTAAACAAAATGAATACAAAACGTTCAGCTTTAAAAAAGCACTCGTAACTGGAAAAACCGAATGAAAAAAGAATGTTAACAACAAATACTTTTTTTCACACCCAACCCAGTTCTGCGGAATCAGAATCAACGTTGAGTTTAAGCAAGCGAATGAGCCAATTGGAGTAAAGTGTTATGCAGATTTAAATTTTTCTCACTTGTGACGAATGCAGCTATCGATTTTTTTTTGCATGTTAGCATGCTAGTTAACATTCGTGTCAGTCAACTGTTGGCTCTCACGCTGGCCAATAGAATCTTCCTGCCTATTCGTGGCAGCCAGCTATAGGCTCTCACTCTGGACAGTAGAAAATGGCCGCAAACTACATGAAAACTGCCGTAGAAGCATGAAAAAATAGATTATTTCCACTATCGATGGGAGTTGGGAAATGCAAATCGGTCTTGGCCTTCTCGCTAACATGGAGCATGTGCATGTAAATTTTGGTGCAAATCCGCCGAAAATTGCGGCCGTGCATTCGTTACACACACACATACACACGCACACATATTCTGCCTTTTATAGATAGAGATTTCTTTTTTGGGGCAGAAAACAATAATGAATTTTCCAAAAAGTGGTGATCTGGAGCATGAATAAAAAAAAACAAATCAAAAACAAACAAACCCATTCTTTTATTAAAACTGATCGAAATTCTCGCTCCCCTTTGACGTACTTCTACAATGTTATTTTTCTACAATTTTCAATTTATGAAAACAAAATCTTACTGGTTTCTGTCAATGGAAACTTGAGCTTTTTCTCTCAAGATATAATCTTTTTGTAATCTTAACAAAACACATTACGGCACGTTGACTCACTTCATATATTTATGAATATCTGTATTATTTTCATTTGGTCATTAATATCGACTTTTCTTTCTAAACTGCTGGTCCTAATATTAAGAGAAGCAATATTATTTCTTTAAGTTATCAATACATTGATTAATAGCAGCACTGATGTTTTTATTGCAGAGAAACCAATCAAACTTCTCAAATTTCAACTAATCAATTTATTTACATGCAACACAAACTGAAATTAAGTCAGTCATACGACTGGGAAGAGATTTAAATTGAATTTACTGGAATTAATTGAAATAAGTGTAAATCTGAATTTATGTAATTTGTTTTAACAACAACAACAACAAAAATAACAAAATGAGATAAAAAAAACAGCAATTGTTTTTCTTTCAGTCTTACGTGATGTGTCTGGAAAGTATCCAGCCATTTTGAATCTTCTGAAAATCATTTAAACCAGGCCTTTTTAAAGCAAAGCTCGCGTAAAAAATCTAGAGGGGAGTCAATGCTATTGGCAATTTTTATTTTATTTTATATCCTCGCTTTAGAATGTTGGTTATTGCAATTATTTCTATAAAAAAAAGAAGATAACTTTGCAGGACTCCAAATGAAAGAAGCTAAAATAATTTTTTATTTATTTCTCGTATTAAAAACTGTTAATAACCGCAATTTTCAAATATTAAATGGAATCCTCACCAATCCTTTTAGAGGCATTGGAGCTTTTCTTGTGAATTTAAGTGAGGAAACAAGATGATCTTTCTTAATATATATGTATATGTATAGCTGGCCACTCGTATTTGAGAATACCCGTCTACTAGGGAAGATAGCCAGACCCAATTGTAGACGCTTGTTCAGGCGCATTTATGTTTATTCAACACCCACAGAGCCCACCTATTAACACTGCAGCTATGCTGAGCAGACCTTAGTTACAGTTTCTGGAATAGAAGCGTGTTATCTACCGTGATTAACAATTTGAACAAGACATGCACGCTCAAACTCTCAGCCACGATGACTTATGACTTCATGCTAGTACAGCTGTCGACGGCCACCAAGGCTTTCCGTCTACCCGTCGTATGTTTTTTTAGTTATTTTCCAAAGGTTCCACAGGCTGGGATCGACCCATCTAGTAAGACAACATCAGGAAATCTCCTTCCTGACAAATCGACCATGGTGAGATTCGAACCTGAGTCTCATGGTCCGAATGCAAACCACTCAGCCACGTGATACTTACAAAGGAAAACGATTATTGGGAGCAACAAAATAGAAGCTGTTGATAGCCATGATCACTTA